TGCTGAGGGCTGTGGGTGCAGAGTACAAGGCCTCAGGAACCAACGTAAAGCTGAAAACATTGTAGTTGCTACTTGTATAGAATATAACATATACATGGTTCTTCCAGTAGCCACGTGTCTTTTAACCTGATAAAAGCACAGAAGTGCTAGCTGGAAATGAGAACCGAATCTGCAAAACTAGCTTAGATCATTCAAATCTGCCTGACTCCAAACCAGTCCTGGGACAGCCCTGCATCTATTCCACCCACCACCAACGTTGGAGCTCCTCTAGTTTCATTTCATAACTAGAATGGCATCCTTCAAAAGAAGTAAAGTAATTGTTATCATGTTAAGTGGTCAAGACAACCTGGCAATAGGAGTTTTTAAAAGTAATCAAAAAGAGAGAGTTAAGAAATACAAAAGGATAATTTGAGTTCATTTTTGAGAGAAGTTTAGCTACATCAAAAAAATGCTTCAAGTCAATTATTTAAAAGATAGAAATGATTTCAGTGTCAGTCTCCTTTAAACACGTGCATCTGTTGGGTTTTGTTTTATTTTATTATCGTTTGAAGGTAAGTAGAACTGCAGACATCAGCTTCTCTGAATAATCACTATGAAATCTTCCAAAAGAAAGGCAAGGGCTATAACCCTTGTCTAAATTTTTGGATGTCTTCCCAGTTAAATGTCAAAACAGTAGCTTCCTTTGGGATAACTATTCTTCTTTATTGTACTGAAGAGCCTTTTAAGTGGTTTACTCTGAATAATTGCATAGCATGCTTGACTTTACTTTCACATAATATGAAAATTTTTATTTTCTCATTCTCTAGGGAACAGCCAAGTTACTTCAAGCCTGTTTCTTTTCTCTCTTAAATACAAAGCTATTTTTCTGGAAGTGGAGGTGGGGGACCCGTAATATGCAAAGGCAGAGAACGTATAATCAGTGTAGATGAACAGAAACGTGTATCCCCTCCACACTTCATCCACACCCAGTCAGCTTGCTTTCTTCTGAAACCATATACATATTCACACCCCGGGATTTTCCAGGTGCTGTTTACTCCTGCTCTGCCCTCCCCCCTCATTCTCAGACTACTGTTCCTCACTTATCTTTCACTGTCAGCTCAAAATCCATCTCCATCATGGATGCCTTTTCCCCTGATCATCCAGACAGGATGATGTGTTCTTTTCTCAGCTAGGGAATGGGTCCCCACTGTTAACTTTTTAGAGTATACAATTTTAGCATTAGTTTTGATTAAAAAAAAAAAAAACTTCACAATTTTCACATTTACACTACTTACAAAATTGTTCTTTTTCATGGGGCTACCAACGTTTGCAGTCACTGTCTGCTTGTATCCTTCCTATCCTGAAATTTTGTCATAAGGTACGTTGATTCTCCTAGAACGGCAAGGGACCCCAGGCTAGCTGACCGGAAACACCAGGATCTGGCAGATGGCTCAGCAGGGGAACGTTCTGGCTCCTCCTCTCTACCTTTGATTGTCTTTTCATCTATAGAAGCAGGTCCCGTAAATATCCCAAGGGGCATTAGCTGTTCACTGTCCGAATAGCTCTCTGCCAAGTGACCTGGAAAGGAGGAAGCCTGCTTGAGAAGGCTGTGGAGCCATGGCTGGGGGCAGTGGACGGCTGACAGCGGCTGAACCCCTCCAATGACACCACTTCCCTCTTCCCGAGGACTGCTTCCCACACGCTGTTATGTGTGGTCCAATTAAGTTGGTCCTTCCGCACAAATCATTTTTTTCCTAAATATATTAGGAAAACCGTCATGTTCATCTGCTTTTACTTTGATCAGTAAAGAATACTTATTTAGGGATCGATCTGGCTGGGGCTGACGATATTTGATAACACTCACAAAGTAGCTTGCTTATTTTCATTACCTCATTTCTTCCAGTACATCATAACTCCTCGGGGAGGGACAACATTTGCTCCTGCAGGAGGAATGGCTCCAGCCTTCTCATTGGTTCTCCCCTGCCTAAGGACTCCAGGGAGATCAGCACTCCCCCATTCTTCTGGATTCCCTAGATTTTTGCACAGAAATTTATGGAAAAGAGAATTGTAATGCTGCAGTGTTAATTAGATATTACAATCTTGTGAAGGATAAAAATGAGACGAAAAGGATGACCTGAAAAAGAAAAGAAGCAAGGAAGGGTTAGGAAAGATTTCGAAGATCTTTAAAACTACTAGGAAATTATCTCCTCAGAGTGAAAACATTTCTATAATAAGTATTAAAATTATTCTGCTGTCAAGTACTTAGCTTAATTACTGTTAAAATATTAAAATTGTGCTTCCGTAGATTGAGACTAACTTTTAAATTTCAGGCATTTAGATTTAGGGTTCAACTCACAGCTTATTAAAGCGTGGGATGTGATTCTCTAATGTTCTTACAACTATGTCCCAAAACTCCAGAGTGTACACACTATATGGGCCAATTAATTTCCAGACTTCATAATGTATGTCAGCACTATAAACAATTAGTAACAACAACAAAAAGATGATACCCTTTTTGATGGTAAATCATACTGAACATTTAACAGACATTCACTGAGGGCCTATTGGGTCCCAGGCACTCTCAGTACCTGGATGGAGATGGGGAAGGGGATGAGGAAGTGGACAGGGTAAGGATAGATGGGGGATGCAGGTGGGGGGGAGGGGAAATAAGGAAATTAACAAAGCACAGTACCCACTTTCAAAGGTGTTCATGATCCCACGAGAGTTGAGAGAAAAGGTGGAGGAAAAGAAAAATGCTGTTGGGGACTTCCCTCGTGGTGCAGTGGTTAAGGATCCACCTGCCGATGCAGGGGACACGGGTTCGAGCCCTGGTCCGGGAAGATCCCACATGCTGTGGAGCAACTAAGCCCGTGCGCCACAACTAATGAGCCTGCGTTCTAGAGCCCGCGAGCCACAGCTACTGAGCCCACGTGCCACAACTACTGAAGCCCGCACGCCTACAGTCCGTGCTCTGCAAGAAGAGAAGCCACTGCAGTAAGCCCGCACACCGCAACAAAGAGTAGCCCCTGCTCGGCACAACTAAAGAAAGACCACGCGCAGCAATGAGGACCCAACACAGCCAAAAATAAATAAATACATAAAATTAAAAAAAAAAGTTTTCCTAGAGCCAGGACATGAGTTTTGTCTCAGCTCCATCAGTTAGAAACCATACAGCCTTAAGTGCTTCCCCTCACCTCTCCACTTTCAGGAGAGAATGCAAGAAAGCCCTTCGTGTACTAAAAAGGTAGAAACAAAGGCCGGCTAATGATACTACTATGCCCCTCAGAGACGGTGAAACTGGGCTTAGATTAAGACCACCAAAATCACACACTACAGGAGGGATAAGAAAGACCCAGAGGAATTCAAATGTTCACTTCCTGATTGGGCTGCCCCTCTTGAACTGAGCTCTAATCCACGGCGATACTTTGTCCTGTGAGTAACTGTCCAGCTTCACTTCCTGCCACACCTCCCAGACAGGGCCACATCAGACATTGCTAAAAGACAGCACAACACCAGCCCCTCCACACCTGTGCCAAGGTCCTGCCTTAGGTCTCAGTACCCTAAACCTGGCACTGTCTTACCTCCTTGGAGTAACACCTTATTGTATTATAACGACTGTCCCCTTAACAGTCTGGCAACTTCTTGAAGACAGAGATCATGTATTATCAATCTGTGTACCCCTGTCAGAGCACCTGATAAAGATACATGGTTTATTGAATGAGTGGATGGGTGCATGCATATAAGCCATTTCTGCCCACAAAGAACAGAATTGTGACGTACTCCAACTATGTGCCTATGTGTGTCTCCCTAAAGCACTATAACTCTCAATATGGTTTTATAACAGCTTTACTGAGATGTAATTCACATACAGGTATCCTCAGTTTTTTTCAAAAGTTTGCCATATACCACTTTGCTTTTACGACAAACCTACATTAGTAACCATTTGCGCTAACTGAAGGAAATCCAAAGAGGGTTTTGTGTAAAACCCTCTTTGTGCTTTTATGTAAAAGGCAAAAAGCAAACGTAGTATTTGTCATTTGATTTGCAACAAGCTCTTATGGAGGCAGCGCCAACCTGGGCAAGGAGAGTGGCCCTGCCAAGGTCCTCCTCCGGGAACTACACTCAGCATCGCGGCATCCATCTGCCGTAGTTTTGAGCTGTGTCTGTGAGCATCTGTGCTTTATCTCCATTTATTTTGTGTATGCGTTAGCAAGATGTGCCCCAAGGTCATTGATTCTGTGCTTTATGCCGTTTTGGTTTATGAAAGGCTTCATAGGAACACTCTACTTTGGGTAGCAGGGAAAACCTGTACCACAATTTCACTTAAGGTGTACAATGCAGTGGCTTTTAGTATATTCAGAATTGTGCATCCATCACCGCTAACAAATTGAGGAACAGTCTCATCACCCCCAAAGAAACCCCAACCTATTAGCAGTCACTCCCCATCCCCCCTTCCCCGCCCCCTAGCAACCACTAATCTACTGTCTCTATGGATTCTTAATTTCTTGTTACACTGTGTACATAGCTCAGTTATTAGAACGCATCTCTGCGTGACTGAGAAATAAAAGCTGAAGCAGCTTCGATTTAATACAGAAGTACAAAATCAATCTCCTTGCTCTGTGACCTTGGGTAAGTTGTTGAACTGGATTTAATCTCCACATAAAATGAAGTTTGGACGGTGTGTGAGGGCACCCTCAGGTTAAAAAAAAAAAAAAGCAGAAACAAAACAAAAAAACCCTCTGTCTATAATTCCGAGACTCCACCCTAGGTAGTCTTTTCTGGGCGCCCAGCCCGGGACCCCACCCTTCGCTGCGCCCCTGGAAGGAACCGGCTGCCGCGCGCGCCCCCAGCGCGGGAGGGGCGCGGCGATGGGGGCGGAGCCAGCGACTCCGCAGCCAATCCGGGCGGCGGCGCGTCCCGGGGGCCGCGGCTCGCCCGGCGCGCAGGGGGCGGGGCTCCGCTTGACAGTGGCGGTCGCCGGGCAGCTGAGTCGGGGCGCAGCGAGCGCAGCGCGGCGCAGGGAGCTCGAGCGGCGCAGGCGGCGGCGGCGGCGGCGGCGGCGGCGGCGGCGGGTCCCAGCCTGCTCCGGCTCTTGGCGCAAAGGAGTAGCCTCCCGCGGCGGCGGCGGCGGCGGCGGCGGCGTTCGGGCGATGCTGCGGGTCTCCTTGGGTGTCGGTGTCCTGACCTCTTCCTAAAGGTACTCGGCTGGGCTCGCCCCGTCGCCTCGGGCGTCGCAGCGCCGGGAAGTGGCTTTGCAAAGCCCAGGGCTACAGCGGGCGGGCGGTGGGCTGAGGCGCGGGCTGGGCGGGGCTGGGCGGGGCTGCGCTGTCTGGGCCGCTTTCCCTGCGAGGAAGAGGGTGGCGGCTGAGGGAAGCGGGCTGGAGGAGGAGGGCTGTCTCCGGGCAGCAGCTGGTGGCTTTGCCATCCTCCATCCTCCTGCCCCCATGTGGTTTGAAAGAGGTTTTGTTCCAGGAGAAAGTTTGATGCTGAGACGAGAGGAGCCGGACTCGGGGGTCCCTGAGGCGCGCCCCATTAGAGAGAGACAGGTCACCCTGGCCAGGGACGCCCGTGACCTGAATGTAGGCTTGCAGGAACGCAGGCCACTTTTTGGCCCGAGCAGCATTCCTGACACAGGCTCTTCCCTGAGGACATTCCTCTGCGGGAATTCCCCTGGGGGAGGGGACTTTCCGGAGACTGGGCACTCTGAGCGCCCGTACTGTGGCTTTTGCCGTAGGTAGTTGTCTCCCTTACCTTCTAATTAAAGGTCCCTAAACAATGTGTCCAAGGTACCGATGATTCTTCTGTCAAATCTTGAATATTTTCTTAATGCTACATGTTTTCCCAGAGTGCTGGGGTGGAGCACGTGAAAGAGAGTAGCAGTTGTGGCCCAGCTCTTAGGGTGAGAGGTGGGAAGAAAGAATACAGAACCCACGTACCAACTTGAAGATGGGAGAAAGTTTTGACCTTCAAAAAAAGATGGATTAGGTGTGGATGATTTGCTTTACAGAACTTCCTCGAATGCAGAGAAATAAAGTTAGTGTTGAGTTTCACACATGATTGTAGGAACACATCTATCATAAAGTAGCTCAGAGTAGAGGTAGTCATGTGGATGTCCTATAGACTTGAAATGAGCAGATCTCAACGAGTGAATGTTGAATTCTGTTTAATTCTAATCAGTCTGATACCTTTCTGATCACATGTGTGGATTCTCACAGGTACTTTCTTTTTTTGTATAAAAATTTATTTTATTTATTTTTATTTTTGGCTGCATTGGGTCTTAGCTGCTGCGCGTGGGCTTTCTCTAGTTGTGGCGAGTGGGGGCTACTCTTCGTTGCGGTGCGCGGGCTTCTCATTGCGGTGGCTTCTCTTGTCGTGGAGCACGGGCTCTAGGCGCGCAGGCTTCAGTAGTTGTGGCACTCGGGCTCAGTAGTTGTGGCTCGCGGGCTCTAGAGTGCAGGCTCAGTAGTTGTGACACACGGGCTTAGTTGCTCCGCGGCATGTGGGATCTTCCCAGACCAGGGCTCAAACCCGTGTCCCCTGCATTGGCAGGCGGATTCTTAACCATTGCACCACCAGGGAAGCCCAGGGTACTTTATTTCTTATCAAAAATATTCATACCATAAGACAACTTGATAATGCCAGCTTTTGTACCCTGGAGACACCCTTAGCCAAGGACATCAACCCCTTGCTCAGGTCCATGTGATTTATCCCCACACCAGGTCCCATCACTTCTGTGAGAATATTTACATATTAAAGGGAAGGAAACCTCCTTGGTCAATGGTGACACAGTACATCGAGCACATACTACGTGCCAGATATAGTACTAAGTATTTTATATATAACTTTAATTCTCACAGTCACCCTGACGAGTTATTACTACTTCCCCTATTTTAAGGTTTAAAGAGTTTTGCAGTTTCCCCAAGATTACTTGTCAAGTGATAGAGGTGGGGCTTGACCCCAGATGTGTGTGACTCCCTGCCCATGCTCTTTTCCGCTGTCCTGTGCTACCTCCCAGCCCCTCTTGGGAGAGAGTTGCCCATGTTATGATGTAGCAGGAAATCCAGAGATGGCAACATGTACTGCGTCTCCCAGCCTCCTAGATCAGACCCCTTTGTAGAGTATCTCCTCCCTCTGGGAACCCACCACTGTGTGCCTGTGCCCCGCAGGTATTCCCTCCACCCAAGGGTGACATCTGGGACTTCATAGACTCCTGCCCCCACACCCCCAATCCCCAGGATGGAAATCAGATGGAAATCTCCAGACATATAAACTCCTTGCCCTTCCAGATAACTTGGTTCCAGAAGACAGGTAACCAAGCGTTTCCAACACTGGCACTTAAGGAGCAGTCTGTCCCCTCTCAGCCGTTCAAGTCTATTTTAAGTGTGCCCGTATAAGTGCCCCCCACCAGCTGGCAGCAGCATGTCCCCTGCAGCGCTCACACTGGCACACTCATCCTCCTGTACCAACTGTCAGAGAATTCCTGACACAGCCCTGTCTACTTGCAACGAAAGACTGAAACAAGGTCACTGGGGAAGGTGGTGTGAGTCCAGAGAATCCCTGGATTCTCCTCTACTGACCAGAAAGGAAATTCACTGAGGACCCTAGGAGCAGGAAGCAGGCCTTCTCCAGAGTGCAAAATGCCATTTGTGTGGTGTAGCCTGTTGTCAACACTGTTGAAGATAGGTATTCACCATATAGAAACACTTTTACCAGTTATATTGGTGATGGATGTGGCCACACACCTATTTCTGATTTGATTACTCACTTTTACACTGAGGCAGTTGTCACTTGGCTGAAGGGTATGGAAACCTTGTGTCACAGTTGTGACAGTAAGCTTGAAGCTGTGCCTAAAAAAATTTATTATTATAATCTACAACCACTGTTTTATCATTTCTCTTCCCTAGCGGGGTGTGTATGTGTGTGTATTCTCTCCCTTTGTATAGTCTTCAACTCTCTCTGGTTCCAAAATGATGCAGTACTAAGGCTAAAAAGAAAGGAATGCCTTTTTGAGCTGTGGCCATATGCTGCCTGGAGGCATATCCCCGTAGTTGGCATTTTACTCATGTTAATCTAGTGCTAAGCATCGCAAGGTCCCGTGTGCATGCTTTGGGATTTCAAATGGGCTCTCCTGTCTAATTGTTTTACTCCACCCCTGCAGCGTGGTGAGGTTTTAGTTTAGAAGACAGCCCTGGCACCTCCCCTCTGATATCTCTAAATGGCCAAGAACTGGAGCAGCGCTAATTAAAGTTGGGAAAGTAGAACATGAGGTTTACTCATTGTCACTCTTGCACCAGAATGGAAAATGTACCAAAAGCATACGAAACTATACCAAATTATTGACATGGTGCAGTTTGCCTGAAGTTGGGTGCATGCAAATGCCTTACCAACCTAAAAGTGTCCAGTATCAACAAACTTCCACTCTGCATTCTATTCTAGTTTTAAAACTTCTCATTAACTAGCAATCCATCTTTATTTCTGTATTTCATCAGATTGAAAATGTCAGCTGTAAGACATAGCATGATTTTTGTTATACAGGAAGAAAGAGAAAATACTGCCGATTATATTATGACAAGCCACTTTAACAGTGGTCTTCCATGACACTGCATGAATCTGTCACACTAGCATCTCATTGCTTTCAAGATTCCTTCATCTCTTCCATGGGTTTTGGTACCTTTTTCCTGCTGGTACCTTCAGTAGCATTGCTTATGGTATGATAGGCGATCGGCTTGTATGTCTCACTTACAAACTGTAACACAGATTCCTCTTTTGTGTTTTTCTTCAGTCTGGTAAAGCATTTGGATTTTGCTTTGCAAGGTAATGTGGAAATGCCAAACAAAGACAAATGTTTCCTCTAGTAATATAACATTCAGGCCCCACTGCTCTGTTTGTTTGCCTTGGTGCATACACAGTAACATCTTTAAGTGCCAAATCATAGTGTAATCTTTTTGAAAACCACTCAAATGGCAGTTTAACAGAACACGTGCAGTGCTAAGGATGCCCCTAACTTAGTGGAAGTGATGACAAAATGAATAGCGATGACCAAGTTTATGCAAATGCAGGGAAATGACAATTGTGCTGTGACTGCTGCCAAGTTGTCAGCCGTTTTAAGACACCATCAGTATTAAGACACATCCTGATTTCAGAGATATTAAAGTGTGAGGAAAAAATGAACCTTATCAATGAAATATGTTAATCTGTGCCCACTCAGTTTTGTGAACTCTAACCTGCCTGCCACCTTGCATGTATTCATTCATTCATAGAGTCATTCATTTTGTTAAACTCAAAGCTCCAAGAGGGCAAGGACTTCTTCTGTCTTGTTCTCTGCCGTATGCCAACCACTTAGGATAGTCCTGACACGTAGTTAAGCTGCTCAATAAATATCCATAGAACGAGTGAATGAATATCCCCTTTGGAAGACATGGAGACACGTCAGGCAGCTCACTACTCTCCTGCTGGTTAGGAAACGTATTCTTAAAATGAAGACATTGACAGAAATGCCAAACATAGAGAAAGAATACAGGCCAACATTAAGTCCTTTTTTTCTGTTTACAAAGCCCAATACAAAATATTTCCTGCCGTTGCAGAACTAGTTTCTGGTAGAAGAAATTCCAGTGTAGGTTTTATTGATCTTTGACCACTGAAGGAATTTATAACAACTTACATCTTGGTTCTTTTGTATGATCCAAAATCATTGATTGCTTGAATTTTACGCTTCGTTCATTTTCATGTACTTGTCCTGTTATAGATGTAACACGTACCAGGTGACAGGTAAATGCCTTTTCCTTCAGTAGGCTCCTCTGAAACAGAAACTCAGTGCTGGTGACCTTGTCTGGATGTACATCCCCAAGAAAATATATGTCTACTTAAAGGCCGTGCCTTACATTCTGCTTTTTAACCCCCCAAAGAGGCCGTCTTTATATTTTGACATTTGGCAAAGAAAAAGACAAAAGAAAAAAAAGAAAGGGAAAGAAAAGAGAGAGAGTGAAAGGAAGGAAAAAAGGAAGGGAGAATGAAAAGAGAAAGAAAGAAAGAAAGAGAAAGAAAGAGAGAAAGAAAGAAAGAAAGAAGGAAGGAAGGAAGGAAGGGAAGAAAGAAAGAAAGAAAGGGAAGAAAGAAAGGAAGGAAGGAAGGAAGGAAGGAAGGAAGAGAAAGAAAGCGGGAGGGAGGGAGGAAGGAAGGAAAGAAGGAAGGAAAGAG